AGGTTGGGCTAGAACAGAGACCCCCCTTACTTAGATCTTCCTGCTGTTACTAGTCCTTAGTAATCTGTAGCAAACTGACAGGCTGGTTCGAACGGTTCTGAATCGTTTGATAGCAAATGTGTGCCCTGGCAGCCTACAGATAGGTAGTCAGTTCCCTGTGTGCTTTAAAAGGGAGGTTGTAGTGGCAGCTATACATTTTCCACAGCGGGAAATATGAGTTGTTTTGGAGAAAAGGTTTGACTAGTACACTGAAGATTTCCAATCACATGACACATCAGATGGGCTGATACTGTGAGATAACGCCTTTATCAGCCACGCACTGGGGGCCCCCGGGGCTGCTTTCCATATGCAGCCCAGCCTCTCTTTGCATAGAGGTGTCTATAAGCACCGGCCCTCCCTGCAGAGACCAGAGGGCCCCCAAAGGGAGCAGAAGCAGCAAGGCTCTTCCATGCCTGGGAAAATAAAATGCTGGCTGTCTCCTGGCATTTCAGAGCCTAATCTCAAAAGGATCATGCGAAGAGGAAATAGAATTTAGCATGGCAGACCGCACTGCAGGGTACACTTGTAAGTATGAGATTCTCTAACGTGGTTGATGGATACAACTCTATTAGCTTGGTACCAATGACTAGTGAATTTTTACTTCAACCACAGGGCTGTCAGAAATGTTAGCAGGTTTCGTCTAAGGAAAACAGACTAGTGAACACGTATGTTGTCCTGGCCTAGGCTTTCTATACCTAAAACAAAACAAAACCAATAATAATTAAAAAAAAAAAACCCTTACAGTCAGTCACACATGTGCAAATGAAGCTTCTCAATTGGGCAGTAAGAGAATATTACAGTTTTAGAGGAGGGTAGGTGTGGTCTTTCATTTTATGGGGGTTTTGTATGTATATGTGTATGTAGGTTTTGATAGATATACAGTCAGATATTTCAGACTTGTTTGTTTTGAAAATCATGCATTTATCAAATTAGTTCCATCATTTAATTAGTTGTATTAATCCCGGGTTGAAAGGTTTATAGGAAGCACTGTTGATCTCGATTTTACAGAATTTCTTCATTCCTTAATGTTCTGCCTAAGCACAAGTACACCCAAATTACTTGCTTTTTAAAAGGCAAGAATTTTGTGTGCCGTGGCAAACAAAACCTCACAAAAATGTAAATTGCTCTAGGCTTTTCTAAATTTTATGTGGCAAGCTACATCATAATATAAAGAAACACAAATACAGATACTTCAGAAAGGATTAATCAACTGCTTATCAGGATGGAAAATTTTAAATATGTGAAAAGGCTCACTGTAAGAAAATTCATTTATATTTTCATATTGCTTTGTGAAAGATTCCATTTAAATACTGGGGGGAAACTTGAATCTATTACTGGCATGATACATATCCAACTCAATTCATTGTCTATGCATTTATCCCACTCTAAGAATTAAATTCTATAGATGAAATGTATGCTTTCTTTAAAATAATCAGGAGAAAACACTGAGAAAAAAATCATTATGGAGACCTAAACTGGTTCTAAATACAGTTACATTCTAAAAATGCACACTAGTTTTACCAAGAGAATGCTGAAAAATAAAAAAAGATGGGCAAATTAATGCATGATGTTAACCTTCGATAAACAAAACATATTTAAAGAATAAGGGATGGAACATACATACTGAAAGTATAGTAATTTTTGTAACTACCCATAAAATAAATTTCTAGATAAGGAATTAACAAATCACAAGTAGGGATAACCATCCAATACTTACAAAGTGAATAAACTATTGACTTTTTACTGAAAATGTAAGGCGGGGTATTTATAGAAATCTCCGCCAAAAATGCATTCTCCAGGAAGCACACAATAACCTTTTCTGCTTTTGTTTGGTTTTGTCACTATTTTATTTTTAGGTCCATGGAATTTTCCCACAAATCATACCACCACCATGAGAGAAAAATGATTATTGTTGACTCAAAGCTCGGTGAGTTCATCCATTTTAAATCAATTCTGTATCATACCAGCTCAACCATCTTTTCACAAGGAACGCTATCTTTTTGCAAAAACAAAACCCTTAGTTCAATGGAATATTTGAGGCTAATTTGTATATTTACTAATGAATGACCACATATGCTTTAATTCTAAGGGTATAATTTAACTGAAGATGGTCTTAATTGGATTTGATGACAAACTAAACAAATTTGAGTTTATCAATGGAACATATTAATCTAATTCTAATCCTAAAGAACATCTTTATAGAGGGGACACCTTACGTCATTATCCGCAAGGGGACACTCTGGCCAGGCTGTCCTCTCATCCTTTGGCCCAAGTTCTTCTGAGCACACAAGTCCCCCTGGTAGTTCTATCCTTTCGGCAGGACTCATGCACCCCCAAGTGCCTGAACCCCTGGAGCACACCCAGCTCATTCTAAAGCTCGAACTCCCACCACTAACATAGTATGTGAACAACAGAAATGTAGGGACAGGGTGACAGAGGAAAGGGACAATGAGCAGGGCAGAGAGGAGGCTGAAACGCTGAAGGAGTGAGCTCCACCGGGAAAGCGTAGGAGGGTCTCAGTAGAAATTTAAAAAGAGGAAGAAGTGCAGTCTGACAATGTGTGTTTCCTGTGCATACACACACACACGCACACATGCACATGAACATGCACACACACGCACACGCACACAAAAAGCTTAGGAACTATTTCCTGAGAGGGAGTACAGGAAGCTGAATGAACATCAGATTAACTGGAACAGACAGTTACTGCATGTGCTCTTCTAGTCTTTACAGTTCCACTTGGGAAAGGGAAAGGGGAAAGGGGGACATTTTTATTGCTATGCCCACGATTGCACAGCTAAGAGCCTGAACTCAGGCCTGGCGTCAGGGCCCAAAATTATCTTAATATACTCTGTCACCTCTCGAGAGCCGTGGGGACCCCAAAATTCTGGTGCATTTGGAAATTACTCTCTTGTTGTTAATCCTCACCTGGGGATATTTTTCCATTGATTTTTAGAGAGAGTGGAAGGGAGAGGGAGAGGGAGAGGGGGAGGGGGAGAGGGAGAACAACAATGAAAGAGAGACATATCAATTGGTTGTCTCCTGCACACACCTGACTGGGGCTAGGGATGAGCCTGCAACCGAGGTACGTGCCCTTGGCTGGAAATGAACCCGCAACCCTTCAGTCCACAGGCTGAGGCTCTATCCACTGAGCCAAACCGGCCAGGGTTGAAAATGGCTTTACTTTTGATGTGCTTCTGACCCGAGTGGGCGTCGCATACTAAGGCTGTCCTGCCTTTGCTAAGCAATTCCGTTAAAGCCATAAAAGAGACCATAACTTGTCAATAGGCATAGGTTTCAGGTACAGAGATCACCGATGTGCACACACAGCAGCAGTAGGTACAGAGACAGCGAGGTGTAAGACCGATGGTCACAGGTGGTCCACAGGCAGGGGCGGAGGCAAGGCCCAGTAGAGGGCAGGGATGATGGTTCTACTGACAGGAAAGGCATCGAAAGAGGAAGCTCTTGGCCACCTTCCTACTTAGAAGATAAGCTGCAAGGTTTTGGGGAATCGACCTCTTGGAGGTGACCACAGAGATGAGGAAACTTTTATATATATA